GGTTTATCTTACACTATTATTATTATTATTATTATTACTACTACTACTACTATTATCCTACATGAGTGTGCAGAGCATAGGGGAAATTATTTGTGTGACATAGTATGCACATCTGTTTGAGTGACGAAAGCACTTCATATATCTGGGCATCCTTGCCACAGTAACTACGGTATATATATATATTATTACATATTTATAATCTGTACTTTCATGGAAATTATATCAAGACGGTATGCAATATAAAAAGCCACACTATTAAAATAATCAATAAATACTGCAGACCCTCCAAGCGCCCCTATTTTCCAAGAATAGTACCAAATTCACAGAAGCCATCCCTGTTTCTGATTTGATCCTCAGAATGTCCTGCTTATCTTTGGACACCCCTATTTTCATCAGAGAAATGTTGGAAGGTATGGAATTATGTACCACCGAGCCAAAGAGGTAAGCAACTGTACAACCTTTAGAAGATATAGGGAAGTTTTATTTAAATGTTTTATTATGTTTTTATATATGTTGGAATCCTCCCAGAGTAGCTGGGGCAACCCAGTCAGATGGGTGGGAAATAATAATAATAATAATAATAATAATAATAATAATATATAATGAAATAGTAGTAAAGGTACCCCTGCCCGTATGGGCCAGTCGTGTCCGACTCTGGGGTTGTGCGCGCATCTCGCTTAAGAGGCGTCCGGAGACACTTCCCTATATCCAGCGTGACGAAGCTGCTCTGGCGAGCCAGCACCAGCGCAGCACACGGAAACGCCGTTTACCTTCCCGCTAGAAAGCGGTACCTATTTATCTACTTGCACTTAAGGGTGCTTTTGAACTGCTAGGTGGGCAGGAGCTGGGACCGAACGACGGGAGCTCACCCCGCTGCGGGGATTCAAACCACTGACCATGTGATTGGCAAGTCCTAGGCGCTGAGGTTTTACCCACAGCGCCACCCGCATCCCTTAATAATGAAATAGGACATCCCTATTTTCATTGGGAACATGTTGGAGGGTATGAAACTGTTTGGTTAAAAAGAGAAGGTTCTGATTGCCTACCCAACCCCTAAAATTCCCCAAAGTCATCTGAAATAAGCGATGGATAGTTCTTGCTCAACCTCATCTGGCAGAGTTCCACAGGGCAGGACCTGCCACTCTAAAAACTTGGTTCCTGGTGGAGGCCAACTAAACCTTAGGGACATGTGGAATTACCAGAAGTTCCCCATCAGATGACTCTTAAGGGGCCCAGTTTGTGTAGAGCTTCATGATCAACAACTATTAGCAAATTGGCAACCACATGTAAAATGTGTGACTGTATTTAATATGCAGCAGTTTTCCATTGTGAAACAAGGGAATGCGTTTGGGGATCACAGTGCCTGACTCCATTACATAATAAAAGTGAAGCTGAGAAATTCAGGGTATATATTTCATTTTGTATATATTCCATTTCCTTTTATTGAGAGCCTATCACCATGAAGCATCAAAGCAAAAGTATTAAGAAGCTTCATATTATCACTGGGATGAACTGTGTATTTAAGACAGTGGGTGGAATTCAGCATTGCTCTATTACAAAATGTTCCATCTACGCAAGCATATTAGATTGCCAGATGGAACAATTGCGCAGGACTTCCGCCGATGGGGTTCATTAGGTGAATCCTGCCCTTTATTACACTTTGTTGATTTGGCATCTTCTGCTTCACTTGCTAGCAAAACAGCTTCCCTGTGTTGTTGCATCAAATCAAGTGAATAAACAATAAATAATGTTTATTAGCAATTAAAGCAAACATGATCCTGTGGTGTCTACAGTTTGCAACACTATAGATCTGAACTACCTAGCAGTGTCTCCGTAGGGCTTTTGTCTCTCAAGTTACAAAGGATCTTGGTCAAACTATTTACCAGCCCTTCCCAAGTTTTTCTTTAATTAAGCACCATGGCGATGTCTTTCAAAGTGCTATGCTTTATTTTAGCAAACTCATATACTGAAAACCTCCTCTTAATTACTAATAACATTTAGGAAACCTTCTTGAAGAGGAAGCTCTCCTGAACAAAGGCACATTTGGGAGATAGGATTTCAAAGCGGGAGAAAGATAGCTTTTAGAAAGATTCAAAACTGAGACACGCATTGTAACGTATATGGGTCTGAGAAGATTATGTGTCTTCTCAGCAATATAATAAGATGAAAGTTTTAGTTTATTGTACTCTATAAACTATCTTTCCCAAATTAAAATTGTATTTAAGTTATCTGGAGATGGAGAATGTGATGGTTTGTTTCTCCTTATTTGTGACCATGGATATTGTTTGCTCCTAATTAAAATCAATACAATGTTTACATTGATCTAAAAGTTGGTGCTTCCCCCTTTCACGTGTAAGAGACATGGCAATCTTTGTACTATCATCTTTGTGTCATTGTCATATTCAAGATATATTTTGTGTTCAATGGGATTATTCCAGACTAATTGAGCGGAATAATCATTTCTACGTCACTTTAATGTTTTTGTTTGCATACCAGTTAACAGGTGATTCTAAGTGGTCAAAATGTCAGAACCAAAAGATAAATTGCACTGCATTACTTTGAATACTCCAGTGTGGGGGCATTGTATCTGCTTACTGCCTTGAAGCTGATCTTTAAAAGACTCAGTAACCAGTCAATTAGCTACTTTTATGTTGGAGATTTTCCACATATTTCCAAGGTCTATTAAGAAGTCTGCTATCAAGTAAGCCTTTGAAAATTATTTATTCTTTTATGACTGCAAAGTATGGAAACATGATACTTTTAATGGAAAACTATAAATGCTTAAAGCATCTATGAAAGGGCTTTATGTTGGACTTGTTATGTCACAAGCTATGCGCACTTATGATCCCAGTGAATGGAAACTTCACTGATAAAGTCTGAATGATGAGGTCAGGATTTATAATGTGGATCTTGCAGTATCTACGCTTCTGTCAGATACTATGGGTTGAGATATCTGGGAACATTTGCTTCTTCAAAATCTGTTTTCCGTCACCTCATTGTCCCTTTGGCTAATGAGAATATATCACAAGATGTGGAATTTCGTGTTTGCCTTCACCTTTGCTTTCATTCCAATCTGAGGAATCTCTGGGACTACCTGATATATATTTGATTATGGTGCATTTTGTCAGATTTGTTCATTTTCAATTCCAACAACTAAATGAGCCTTTTGTTGGACCCATCTCTAACAAAAAAAAAAGACTTGTCACTTTAGCCTCTTTGGCTGTCCATTTATGTATGCAGTAACAAAATGATTTGTGCATTTGGCAATGCCGTTGATGGCCTTTGTTTATTCAAGACAAGACACTGTCAGGATTGCACATCCCTGAGGAGTATATAGAACCTTGAGCATATCCATAATTTAGAGCTTTGAGGATTGAAAGAGTAAAATTGATGTATGCAGATCCCCCTCCTTTTTTTCTTTTTTAGCATGAGGAAAATGTAGTGTTCAAGGTCAGTTTTTCCAGGTCAAGGATAATTACTAAAATGACTGGAAACAACTCTGAAGTTGTTAATGGAAAGCAGATAGAAAGAATATTGTGAATGCTTCCTGTGTTCCATAGAAAATGAAAAATTACTATATGTCTTTCTTAAACATATTTCCTTTGGAACACAAGAGATGCACCATATAACTTTATGTGTCTGCTAAGGAAAAATATTGGCTTCATATCAACTACTTTGTGTTACACCTATTTTCTAAGGGGAAAAAAATTCTGGCTTCAGTTAAGCCCACCCAACTCAGTAGTTGCTTGAGGACCTTATTTTTAACACACCCTAAAACTAAACATATTTACTTGGAAGTAAAGTCCAGTGATTTCAATGAAATGTTAATCTGTGCTGGAGGTTGCCGGCTCACTGCAGTTTTTATGCAATAAATATAAACGGAGCTTTCTTTTAAAACATTTAATGTTTCATTTATGTATGAAAGGCTACTATAAGAATACTGGATTTATAGGGTGGGGGACCCAACAAAGAGACGAAGAGTGCAAACAAAATAATCCCAGCTCACATTTGCCCTTTTATTCTGGAATTTTCCAGATTTCTTTCACTTTAGTTTTTTTTCATTCATTGCAGTGTCTTGTGCTGTTATGTGTCCATGTAAACAAATAATGTGCTGTTACTGCTGTTGTCAGTGGGAAACGGGTTTGATCCTACAGAACCAACTTGGCACATTTCCCCTCCAACTTCCTCCCCTGCTCGTCTTTGAGGGAAAACAAAGTGGGGAGTTGGAGGGAAGGCACACCAAATTTTATGCACAAATGACTGTGCTTGTGGGATGGTGCACGTGTTTGCTTGTGTAAAATAAAAGGAAAGTGAGCTTTCAAACACCAAACACTTCCCACGCGATTACACCCAATTAGAGATGTGTGCTACCTAATTGTGTAATAGGGAAACATTATACAGTACATGTACCTTAGGAACTTCCAACTTATAAAAATGTGCTTGCTGTAAAATACCGTGGTGCGTAGCAGAGAAAAGTGTTTTTAAATAAGTGAGATAGAGCATGAAACTCCATATAATGTGGATCCTACGTGGCAATTCCATTTGCAAAGAATTCCAATACAGTAATGCCTTACGAATGAGAGTAGATTCAGTGTAGTTTCTTAAAGCAATTTATCCACCATCTCCTTCAATAACACACTTCAACATGTAGCTACCATGATACAATGAAATGCATGGCGGCAGGGGCAGTCTAGACCATGGTCTGATCTGATCTCTTGTTTGCTGTGCGTGCTGGGTCAAAGCAGCTGTACATCCAAAGCTGCTGAAGATGTCAATAAATATATAGAAGTGTGTTTATACTTTTTAAAGCTCACCATAGTATGGCTATATCTCCTAGGAATATTTTGATATGAATCGTTCATGTATGACCCATGTTGCTTGAACAAAGATAACTGGCATGCATTCTTTTATCTTTTTTTTTACAAACTTGGTTCACGGGGACCAAAGTTTATTGCTTATTTCATGGAGCTGTGACAAAACGCTAGGAATCAAACAACATGGGGATTACAGCGGCTATTATGTTTATTGTGCTGAACAGACGGTGATAATCCATTAAAAGAACATGTTCAACAAGCAAGCAATTCAAAGTACAGTCGTAGTCAGAAACTCTATATGAATAACAAAGCGAAGAGTTAGGAGACAGGCAAAGAAAACAGGAAAAAGTAAACTGTAGTTATACATCTTGATACTTTTCTTCTGCAAGCACATCCCTCTTGCAGAAACGGCAGAAAGGTTAATGTCCAGTCTTATTTAGCTGTGACCAATGACAGCAAAGAACAGTCCTATAAAATTTATCTCCCACAAAAATAAACTATATATATATAAATTTTTATGATGATCTTTCTGTTTCAGTGGTCACAAGCAGGTTTTTTTTCAGTCTGAAAAATGAGGTATAGAAGACCCTGAGAGGTAGTAATGTATTTTGATTGTTCTACAATATTACAGAAAATATAAGATTTAATTTCATCAGAGCTGTAAAGACCCTTGGAGTTTGATATCTGACCCACATATACGGATAACATTTGTTTTGTCTCATGCTGTTACACCAATCCAGATGCCCCAGAACAGGGAATATACCACGCTGCCAAGGGCTACATAATTCCCTTCAACGAGTCTCTCAAATGCATTTCTCCACGGGGATTTCCCGTTTTTGTGTTCAGAACACTCTCTAAAACTGAAGAGAAATTCTCCCCTCCTGAATGGATTACGTGTGCACCTTGGACACTTACAAGAGTTTTGGAGTGTGGCCTGTGTGCATCTGAAAACTCCATGACAGAGGTAACAGAGCATGTTATCAAGTCCTGCCCCAGTGTCCCTATTAATTAGCTAATTTCTTCAAACAGTAACCCACTGTGCCTCATGGGGTGCTGCTCCAGAGCACCTTGCAATCTTTTTGGAAAAGGTGAAGGGCTTTTCAGGGGGCTAAAATGCCTCCATGCACAGTCACTGTGCTTTTGATCCCGGGCAACAGCTTGAATAGACATGACTTAGGGCCCATAAGGCAGCTTGGTAACGCAAGGATGCCAATTCCACCCCTACCCTGCCGCTAATTCCATCCTTGGTGATCCACAGCAGTAAGTACTCTTGTTCCTTAGTGAGGCGTTTGTGTCTTAATGTTCTCTATTGTGAGGCAGCCAGGAAGTAGCTTTCCTTAGTTGCATTTGGCTAAGTACTTGAGTCATACTGAAGAAAGCCTTCCTGAGAAACTACCCCTGGCCCAAATAGTAAAACCATGTTAACAAGCAGGCTGTGTGAGAGACGTAGAAAGGGATAAGGAGAAAGAGAAAGAAGTATTAAACAAACTCTACATAAGAAGCATTTAAAATAAATCTGGTTGACACATTATTTTTTTTAAAAATCACATTTGTGAAAAATACATGGAAAATACTTGAAAAGTATTCGCATACAATCTACTAGTTTTTTAAAACACACGCACATATTCGTGATTGCATTATGCAAAAAGCTGAGCTTGTTGCCTCCCACCTACAAAGATTCAAGTTTCTTTGAAGGGTTGTTTTTAATAGGAAAGTAATTAATGCATTCATTTCCCACAAAGTTCATTTACAAAAAAATAGTTTTGATCAGGGATTTGTTGCAGTCCTAAATGTTTCAATCTTCCCAAAAACTAATGTTGAAAGAAACAACAAGTTCATTCCATTTATAGTCTGGAGGTAGGTCTTTGTCAATCAACTAGTCCATTTCCTTAAAAAAAATTATTTGAGGTACAAACTTGGACAGTAATATTTAAACATTGCGGTTAATTATTATTTTTTTCCTGTCATGTAGTGTTATCGAAGAAAATTATCCTTACAAACCTTATGAGCAATTCGGTACAAAAATATATTCAAGTTAATGGTACATTACATAGAAATTTAGCAGAGTAAAGGCATAAAAGGGGGGGGGAATTACATGGTTATGCTGAAAAACACTAAAAGTATCGTCTCCTTGGCTGAAATTAGGTGACAAAAGTAGAAATAAGGGGGAAATGCAGAAATTAATGTTTACCTACCCAATAATAATAACCTGCATTGCATGATTATAGCAGCAAATGTTTATATGACTGTTGAGTTAATGGTACGTATCAGAGGTAGTATTGAAAAGTGGGCTAATATTGCATTTGTGGCTAAAAAGTGCTGCTTTGAGTGAAAAAGGTGGAGACATGTAACTGGGTTAAAGCTGCCCAGCAAACCATCCTATGTCAAGGTATATTGCTGAAAAGTAATAGCAAGCTCACTTGAGGTACACGGTGTTGGCTCTTGCATTGAGATGTGTGATTTAAGAACAGAGATCCATTTGTTTAGAGACAATAGAACGGGACCGACAGTAGTGAGTTAAGTCAAACGAAGAATTTGACTCTTTGCCCTCAGTTCCAGTTTATGACCATGATTCGGAACAATTCTGAGGTATTGTTTTAAATTCAAATTTCAGCTGTTAAATGTGTGTTGTGAGAGAGGGTCTGCTGTCAACCGTCTGTAAGCAACAGAGGCTTCCCAGAAAGCATAGTCTACCTGAAGAGACGTCAATGTGTTCCCACAGAGGTGTGTTGTTGAGTTCTGTTTAGTACTACTTCTGCAGATATATGTGTATTACAATGTATCTTTGTCGGTTTTTTTCCCTTTCGCAAATAAAAGTACCTTTTTTCTTGTGGCTTTCTTTCCTGAATATCAGCTGAATTAAGTGAAAAAATATCAGCCATCAATGTATCTTGAAATACCAGTAATGTTAAAAAAATATATCAATCAATCAAGCACAAATCTAGAACAAGGCTATAAAAAGAGTAGTATCTAATCCTTATCTTTGGTGTTCTAAACAGGGAAATTACTAAGCTAGGGGAGTGGGTTGTCAGAGGTGTTGTAAGGACTGGTGTCAGACACCAAGGCCTTCTTATTTGAATGCCCATTATAATTAATATTTTACAAAAGTCTTATTTATATGCAGTGCAGTGAATGACTTAAAACCCGGTTCAGAGATTTACTGACCCATTCACCCTTACTTAGCAGCTCAAACAAACTATTAGTAGGTTAAAGCAAAATAAACGAGAAAACAGTAATTAAATGTTGCATCATTATCGGTGTCCCCCTGTGTTACAGCAGTTTCACTAAAACCAGGGCAGTGAAGGGATTACAACAAAGGTGATTAATAAGTCCTTTTTAAGGTTATGTGATTTCCCCCCTCCCCGTCCCCCCTCAGGCCAAAGTGGAAAGGTTGTGGCAACAGAAGCAAGTGGTCAAGGCAGTGTCTTCTCCCTTCAAAAGACCCAACTGCTGATGAGGTAGAAATTGCAATGTGTGGTCTTCTAATCATCTTCTGCAGATTCTTGTGAGGATGTCTCTTCAGTCTGTTCCTGAAATGTGCAACCAAAATGGTGAATTAGTGATGCTTCTAGGTTCAAAACTAGTCAACAGAGTCCATTTACATGAGGGAGAGGAGGGCATTCTCAGCAGGAGAGCCATTGGTGGAATTCAATTCCAAACAAAGTGCAAATGGCTTAATCTCTGCAGGTCTTCAAACAGGCATCAAATATCTACTAATTCCAAGTTTCTTTCCCTTCTAGAATATATATCATGGGTAGGCAAACTAAGGCCTGGGGGCAGATGCAGGCCCAATCCCCTTCTCAGTCCGGCCCGCAGACGGTCCGGGAATCAGCATGTTTTTACATAAGCAGAATGTGTCCTTTTATTTAAAATGCATCTCTGGGTTATTTGTGGGGCATAGGAATTCGTTCATCTCCCCCCCCCCAAATATAGTCCGGCCCCCCACAATGTCTGAAGGACAGTGGACCGGCCCCCTGTTGAAAAAGGTTGCTGACCCCTTATATATATCATGGTTCTGTTTGAATTGGTGCTGAATGGGATTCAATTATTTGACCTGATTTTAATGATATTATATTGGGTTGAGTGCTGTTCTTATTGTTCTTTCATTGCTGTGGTGTCCTACAGATGTTCTTACAGTTTTTGTGCTAGTATTTTAGATGTTTTGATGGTGTACATTGTATTTTTATATGTCGGAAGCCACCTTGTGACGATTTGGGGCTAAAAAGTAACCTAAAAGTACCTTTCAGTGAAATATACACTGTTTATAAAACAACAGCCACATCCCATGAGAAACTATTGGTATACCCTGTAGCGATTTTTATTTTTTTAAATGTGGCAAATACTCCAAGTAATACTACAACTGTGGGAATCACACCAAAGTGTGCCAGGGGGACATGCCTTCGTATGGTACTTTGTCTGTGATTGGAGGCATTGCATGTGCCTTTAAACAACTGCATGGAGGAAAATAGATGGCAAGAAATGCAAACTATTCCAGCTTTCAGATGGGGGAGAAGGCAAGTGCTTCTTCTAAAGGCTGTGAATCTAATGTGAATGGTTCTTTTGTTATCCGTCCTGTCTCCAGGACTTTTCAGTGCACAACCGTACTTTATAGTTGCTTATCTCATTTATCCACCCAGCCAACAATCCTGAGAAGCAGGTTAGGCTTCGAAATGGAAACCTGAGCAAGGCCACCCAACACGCTTTACAGCTGAGTGCGGAATTGAACTTTGGCCTCCCACATCCTAACCTATCACACTATACACTACACCACAATAGTCCCACTCAGCCATTATTGAGATTTTGTTAAACCAAGTGCCACTACGGCACTCCATCTGAAGCCTAAAATGAGTGTTAAAGACAACATTGTTTTGAAAGTCAATGTCTAAAATCTGCGTTAACCACACAAAACAAAAACCCGACACAGCTTCATTTTGCTTCTTCTTCTTCTCTCTCTCTCTCTCTCTCTCTCTCTCTCTCTCTCTCAGCAGCCGGAGTCCTCCCCTTCCCTTTGGTCTTAAAATATGTAGGGGCCATCTCCTGACCTTGCTGTACTTCGCCATCCTTTTTACACTCCTTATTCAATTAATGTGCAGCAGTACCTTTCAGGATATGGGTGGTAAACTGGAGACAATAAACATTGCTGATAAAAGGGGGCCTGTGAGCGAGAAGTTGATTTTTATCAAATGCTGCACATCATCTTGTAAGACAGCATGTGAAAAAGATCTAGGGCGAATAGGTAAACATTTACCCGTACAGCAAACTAAGACCTTTTAAGAATGATCAGCTTATAACAGTCTTCATACTTTAATAGATTTGATTTTCCACATGGCTTCATTTTGTCTGGGTGGCTAACTGACACAATTTATAACTCTCTTCCTTTCCCAGGCCACTGCCGCACACCATTCAGCAAAGCATGCCTTACAGCTTGTCTGCATTATGTGACCAAACTTCCATTCATTAGTGTTTGAAACACTTCAGCTGTGAAGGGGATCCTAAATGCTACCATGTGTGACACTACTGCACAAGAGCAGCATGCAGGGGGAAAGAAACAACGCGAGGCTTTAATCATAGGCCACTGCTTACTGCAATCCCTTTCCCCCCCTCCCTTTCTCTCAAAAGGTTTCAAACATCCAACCCCAAAAAAGGCCTGAAAAAGCTGTAAATCCAGGGAATAAACACAAGTACAAATGAATGGATGACAGCTTAAAAAATATAACCATAGCAGCATCAAGCCATGAGATTTCACACTGGTTTTGTTTAGTCTGCTCTGGGTTATGTGGGAAATGGGGAAAGCATGAAGGGGGGGAAAAAGCCCCCCCCCAAACTGTGGGCCTCAAATATTTAAGCCAGTAGGTTTATACCTCTTGACTAGGAAACAGGCCATGACCCTGAGATAGTCTCTGGAGAACGAAGCACAAAGAAAGATGTAGCGTGATCAAAGCCACGGGCAGACGAAAGAGAGAAGCCAAGTGTCGGCTAACCCCTGACCTTATCTTTTCAATTACAGTGGAACCTCGGGTTGCGAACGTGATCCGTGCGGGAGGCATGTTTGCAACCCGCAGCACCACGTCTGTGCGATTCAGCGCTTCTGCGCAACCTGAAAACACGTAACCTAAAGTGTCTGTAACCTGAGGTACCACTGTAATATTTAAATCACAAAAATGGCAGTAACATATCACACAAATTCAGTTCCATTTATCAAAATAACTCATTTCCAACCATCATCCTATTCCTCCACTGCGCAACCATACCTAAGCTGCTGCTGCTGCTGAGGTAAACTTTACACAGCCCCCTGCTAGTAATTGTTTACTGTCAAAACTCCTTCCCCAGCCTGTGCAGAATGGTGGAGATACATTACAAATATTTCATTGTCACGTTTTCTCTCTCTCGCATCAACTCTGTTTTATAGTTCAGGCTGAAAGACAGTGACTTGTCCAAAATGGCGAGACAGAGTGTGCTCCTTGCCTGGCCTTGCCCATAATCCCACCTAACACTACTCATATCTTAAAGCAAGTTACTATGGTGCATCCCTTGCAGTCTTCACAAAGGAAGTTGCCAGGCAGCTCTATTATAAGATTCCGCCCCTGCTTTAGCAGCTGAGGTGTTTACAGTGGTTTCTGGCATCATAAGTAAAAATTGGCATCCTTTGCTTCCCAAATGACAGAGTGAAGTCACCCAGGTATGGCTCATTTGCTATTAAACACCTCCAAATAAAGGAAACATACAAAACAGACATTTATCTGCCATTCTAAGGAGGCTTGAGGGGTCCCAGTTGTGGTTGTTGCTGGCCCTACCTGCTTACTGCACCTTGTGTGCAGTATGTAAAATGCTGCAATGGATGGCAGGAATCTGCTGTGCCAGTTCTGGGAGTAAGATCACAGTGTTGTCTGTCGTCTATCCTAGTTTGAGCACTGGGAATTTCAGGCTTCATCCTCTGATCTGTTGTGACAGTGCTAAAAGTCACTGGGCCATTAAAAGACTCGGTGACTCCATTCATCTAATCAGTGTTTTTTTGTGATGATACTCACTGGTACAGAGTACCATCGCCATCCCTTTTTTTGCTGTTCATGGCAGCCATTTCGTCCCTACACCCACGACACTTGTAAAAAGTATGAGCAGTGTTAGAAACTGAGATATGAAAGCTAGAATGTGTACAATTTCAAATCCAGCATGGGCAATCCATGTGTGGAAACTGGCACCTGCAGATAACTCTTCTGCCCTGGGTCCTACGTGCTCCAAGAGGTGCTGTGTATCTGGGAATAATTTATCTGTATTCCTCAGCAAAGCAGTGTGATTGTAGGTGGGTATGAAAATATTTACACGGTGCCTCTTCAAACAGGAGACATGATCCACTTACTTCAGTGACAAGCATTTGCTTACTGCAACATCAATGGCAACATAAAAGGCAAATAAATTTCATACCGATACCTCTGAATCCCAGGGTTTTCTGACTATACAAAGATTTGCTTAGAAAACATTCTCAGTGGCTGTTTCATCCACTGAAATGGACCTGTCATCATGGCCAGATTATAGTGATGCCGTTGAAGCAACTGCACCTGAGCCCATGCCAGATATATCCAAAATTAATGGACTTTAGTTAGTCATGGCCATTAATTCCAATGTTTTACTTTGTGTAGAACTAGTATTGGATACAATCCCCAGACTGAGCTTTCATTACAATCAAAACAAACCAAACCCTAGTCCTCCTAGAAGGAAAGCTGTCAAGCAAAATGAGCAGGCAATGTCTCAGTGATTCTGTGGGATGAGCCAGCCAGGCTGCACCCACATTTCCATGATTTTAACCAATGATTGAAGTCAGAGCTGTGACAGACAAGTGAGTTGCTTGGACACCAGGATATAGGAATCCCTGGTTTCCTAAGAGCTGCTGTTTTCCCCTCCCCTTTCATGCACTTTTATTTCCTGTTTCTCTCCATTTTTCTAGTCTTTAGAATCTCTGTAGTTTGCCCTTCTTGATTCTTGGACAGCAAAGTCCAATTTGTTTACATATAGGTTAATCTGAGATCAGATGCTACTACATAATATGTATTTCTACCCAGAAGTACACATTTTATGTTTAATAGGGCTTACTCCAAGGTAAGTGGGTACGGTCTTACAGCCTTGGATTTCTTTTAAGAGGCAGAAAGATTCATTGTCAGGGACTCGGCGTCAATGCAAATCAAGCAGAACTTACTTAAATATAGTTGGCCCACTATGTTTAAAAGTTATTTTATAAATGAGTGGTATAAAATACAACAATATTGGTAAGACAAATTCTTATTAATAAAATATAAATTATTCTACAACATCTAAAATGTAAGGGAATTTATTCTACAACTTCCTGTTAGTTATTTCAATGGTTTTGCTGTGGTGCAGAAAGTGGGAGCAGGTATTTTTTTGAGGCGGGAATAGTGATTGACTCTTTTCCATACTCTTTTACATGTAAACAGAATTTTATTATTATTATTTTTAAAAATCAGGATAGTCTCCCATCACAAGTGGCTATAGACCTAAGATAACTCATCTTTGGAAT